TTTTTAATTGATTGTTCTGGTATTTCTCTAACAATCCTTTTAAATTTAAGTTTTTAATTGATTGTTCTGGTATTTCTCTAACAATCCTTTTAAATTTAAGTTTTTTAATTGATTGTTCTGATATTTCTTTAACCATCCTTTTAAATTTAAGTTTTTTAATTGACTGTTCTGATATTTCTTTAACCATCCTTTTACATTTAAGTTTTTAATTGATTGTTGTGATATTTCTTTAACCATCCTTTTCAATTTAAGTTTTTTAATTGATTGTTGTGATATTTCTTTAACCATCCTTTTACATTTAAGTTTTTTAATTGACTGTTCTGATATTTCTTTAACCATCCTTTTACATTTAAGTTTTTAATTGATTGTTCTGATATTTCTTTAACCATCCTTTTACATTTAAGTTTTTAATTGATTGTTCTGATATTTCTTTAACCATCCTTTTACATTTAAGTTTTTTAATTGACTGTTCTGATATTTCTTTAACCATCCTTTTACATTTAAGTTTTTTAATTGACTGTTCTGATATTTCTTTAACCATCCTTTTAAATTTAAGTTTTTTAATTGATTGTTGTGATATTTCTCTAACAATCCTTTTACATTTAAGTTTTTTAATTGATTGTTGTGATATCTCTCTAACAGTCCTTTTACATTTAAGTTTTTTAATTGATTGTTCTGATATTTCTCTAACAATCCTTTTACATTTAAGTTTTTTAATTGATTGTTGTGATATTTCTCTAACAATCCTTTTATATTTACATATTCTCTTTATAATATATTTGCTCTCATTTTTCTACTGATGTTTGTTTATATATATTAGTTTCCATTTTTATTTAGTCGTGTGAATTATGGGTGATCGATTTGCTTAACATGCATGTTTTATTTACAATATTTTCTTTAGTGTGTAATATTTGTATAGGTAAGGGAGGTTAGAACTGTGAATCTTGTACTATAAAATTTGCCGTATATTTTTTTAGAGTATGGGGAACCAAATTTGACATCAACTTTCGACTTAGAACCTACTCCTCTGAGGGTCTTGTAGTGTGGGCAGGTGAGAAGGATATGAGCTCTTCCAGTGACTATCTTGCTCTTGGGTTAAAAAATGGATATCTCCAGTTTCAATATAACCTGGGTTCAGGAGAGGTTATCATTATTCACAACATAACCCGGATGGATGATGGAGAATGGCATACTGTACGAGCAATGAGGTACTTAACTTTTACACAATACTGCATTGAAGGAATAATGTTCATTTATTTTATAAATAAATTTCATGGTAACCTCTCAGCCAGTTAACGGACCTGACCAAAAGTGGCGAATAGTAAGAAGTAATGTTTTATTTTCCCTTTTTTAACCTACATTACAGCTCTTTGGATGTTTCTGTTTAATGTTTTCTGTTGATAATGTCAGTTGTTTCTACAGGTATGAACGTGAAGGCTCTTTGGTTGTTGATGGAGGTCACATGGAAAGAGGAGTTTCCCAAGGATCTTTTAAACAGCTAAATGTTAATAATGGCTTATATTTAGGTAAGTCGGCTTCTTGTTTTTCTTTCATATACAGAAATTCTCTTAACATATATGGAATTTTTTTCATTTCAGTTCATTATAATATTATCGATAACATCTAGTTAGTTAGAATCAACCTTTAATTGAGCAATGTTGTAACTAGTAAAATGTCGCTGACACAGGTGAAACGGTACTCCAACAATAACAACAACAAAATCTTTTAAACCACATGTCCCAGCAAAGACACTCAAACATCTGTGTGTAACATCTTGGAAAATTAAGATCAACATCTCTAAAAAAAACATTCATCTTCAGTTTGATTCCTAATTAACACTTATACTTCATATCTTAAAGAAATAACTAAAGTTTACAGCTATTATTATTATTAACATCTAATTACCTTGAACTGTATTATGTTACTAAAGTTTACAGCTATTATTATTATTAACATCTAGTTACCTTGAACTGTATTATGTTACTAAAGCTATTATTATTATTAAC